CATCTTGCTCCATTCCCCCTTTTAAGAGTTCACATACACAATTTGATTTCAGTATATGGAGCTCATAAGTTTGTGCACATAAATGATAATCGTATAACCTAATTAGAGTCTATAACCCTAATAAACCCAACTAATTTTATAATAAGAAATCCAATTAATTTTTCTCCCGTACCCACGTTAACTCCTTTCCTCCCCATCTTTCTCCACTTTAAATATAAGTAAAGGTCACAAATTTGTCAATGCTTCCATTCCCCATTATAATCCATAATTAGCAGGTGTCTAGAAGTGATTCACCACACCAACCTTAACCATGCAAGCTTTCACACACAAGAACCAGGACATGTTTATTTTAAGGGAAATTGAATGCTCAACATAGCCGCCACTTGCATGTGTGGCCTTGCATTAACATACACGTCCTTGTAATTAACACTTAATACAATTATATCATCACAAACAGTAACATGGATAATTTGGCATGCAAAACGTTGTGTAACCTAATTTCCTTCCCTTCATATTATTACCACTCGACCAGCCAATACCATCAAGCAAGTTAGAGGGAATACCTTGTATAATTCGTGAATTGCTTACTAATCCACACCATGCAACGATTCCCCTAACATCAGTAGTGAAGAGAAATACTAGAGGGTGATGATTTTGCTGGTATTTTAGATGGCAAAAGAGAAAGCTTAATCATAAGCGATTCACTCACTATCTCCCAAGAGAGCATCATACTGGCTCTCTTACTCTCCAGAACCACCATTTTCTCACTCTGCTTCAGAAAAAGAATGGCTATAGTTATCCATGCCACTTCCTATTCCCTCTTATAACACTAAATCTCTACAAGTAAAAGTGGCCACGTGGTTGGTCTTGGAAATGAATTGGGAATGGGGTCTTGCATGCAAAGGATGGAGGTGGCAGAGTGAATTAAAAGAGATGGACACTAGACCAAATAAGCCTTGTTCCATATCTTCGGTTAGTGGAATTTTCTAGGTGAAATGGGAGTGAGTTTGAGCAGAAATTTATTATAATTAGTATCCGACAACATAAGAATCAAACATGGAATGGGTTTAATAAGTTTAGCTCATTTTTAAAAAAAAAATTCCATAATAACTTATCGACTGGAACGCTAATAGTAATCTTAACAATTTAACCTTCTAATAGTATTCGACATTGTCTTACACAACGCATATGTCACGACTAAAAGGGTGAGGGTGTGACAGGCAGGACTTGCGATCGAACGATCGTCGATTGGAGCGAGAAGGAGCTGGTGCAGGGATTACGTTCGAGAATCTTAGTATTTTTCCTTTAGCTTTAATTGATACGATGATGATTATAAACATGATTGTGTGTTTTATTTTCGTCATGAACTAAACCCCAATTTATGGGGGAAACACTATAGGATGTAGATATTTCTATACTTCTTGGATTGATTTATATTTCTCTTCTTCCAATCTCTATTGCATGGAATTGCTTAATGCTTTGTGTTGACTGGCCACCAATATAATGATTTGTAGTTAATTAGGTTATTAGCGACAGTGAAACCCTAATAACTGAACCTATTTCATGTGACATAGTAACTTATCGAAGTGATAGTGGATTAAATAAGGTGCTATGCGGTCTTAAATGGGATATCGATCTTCAGGCTAAATAATTAAGTCTTTGAGCTACGACAGTAGGATTTGATTTAATTGTTTAGTACGTAGTAATTCCCTAAAGGGATAGCTAGCACAATAGTGATATCCTGGCTGTAGAGATATGGATTAAACTGATTGTAATATCTGAATTAATTTGGATATGATAGGTAGCGAGTGCCCGGTGTTTCTCCCAGAGCCTTCTCCCATTAATTTCAACCCGGCAACTTTAATTTGCATGTTTTGTTTAATTATTTTGCTATTAGATAATAATTTCATCAACCAAACCATTTTCACCTATAGTTTGCTCCACAGAATTGATAAATCATAAGGTTGTACCAGTCCCTGCGAGACGATACCCGGACTTTTCGGTTTTACTACGAGATAGGAATTGAAGCAATACACTTTTGCCCTATCAAGAGCATTGATCAAAGATGCTTCAATACAAAAAGTCATAGACACCAACTGCTGAACGCTAAACAAACCGGCATCCTGGAGATACGGCTCATAACGTGGATGGTACGTGACCAAATGGGTCGTACCTCGAGTCTGGTAAACGCGATCACCCGCATATAGTGCACAAAACTTATATTAATTCAATTTCATGGCGTAATTCTATTTTCAGATCATATTGTAAAATCTATCTAATTTATTAAACTATATATAATCAAAAGTAAAACTAACTTCACACAATTTCACATGCAGTTCTAATATTTCAGTTCAGTTCACCTAGTAAAATCTATCTAATTTAGTAAAATATATCTAATCAAACTAATACTAATTTCACAAAATTCTAATCTAACTAGTTAATGAACTTTAATGAAATAAAATACTTACATCGTTTTGCCAAACAGAGTCGGCACGATGTTGACCATGTGCCCAAAGAAGTACAGAATCGACCGGAGCTGTATCAAGCGTCGTAGGTGGTCGTCTCGTGGAATAAGTGTCAAGAATCTTAGGAACTACAAAAAAAAATTAGAAGCAGAAAAAAAAACCCGCCGGCGGTGAGCTTCCGACCGGTGACGGGCTCACCTCGGTACCGGCCGCGTGCCTGCCGTCCTCTTCCACGGCCTCTTCCTCCGGCGATCGCCTGTTCTTCGTCGGAGTCCGACATCAAAACCAGAAAACACATATCTGGTTCTTCTTCTTCGTCCGCCTCTTCTTCCCTCCTGCGCTTTTGCGTGACTCTCGGTCGTTTCCGCGTTGACAAACGCGTTTTCGCAGGAATGTGAGTTGAACCCGCGTGATAATGGGTGAAATGACGGTCGGCGCTGGTGGGTATTGGCGATGAAGGGGGGGTTTGTGGCGTCGCTGCGGACGAGAGGATGGGGAAGAAGAAGATAAAGAGATAAGAAGGAGTGAATGCGTTCTCGCACGGGACTAGCGCGACTTTTTTCTTTATGCACATCCGCACGAGTCTGGTGCGGGTCCACATTAGTCCACTTTGGATCCGCTTTTAAAAGCACTAAATTTGAGTCTCCCGCGAACCCGCAACTCTTCCCCCACAAAAACACAATATCTATGTAAATATATTTAAAACCACCATATTGGTGGTAAAAAAAAACAATATTTTGGAAATTTATCCTGGGTCTACTTGGGTTTAGGTAAATATCATATACTAGCCAAAATTTTCAAAATAATTTAAATTGGTAGTTGACCTCCATATATAGGGCTGGAAGTTTGGTACCGGTATTTGGGATATACCGAATACCGTACCGAATTTATCACTATTTGGTATTACCGAATACCGACTTATTTTTTAGGGATTGGGATTGGGATTCATTTTGGAGTCCTATTCGGTATTCGGGATTACGGGATTGGGATCGGTATATACCGAAATACCGAGAAATACCGAACTTTAAAAATTAATGAAATATAGCACACAACTTTTAGTCATTCCTCACTCTTTCACAACTTATAAGCCTCCATCCAACTCAATTTTGACTTTCGATTTTAAGTAATTCTCATTTTTCACCTAATCTCTTGTTATTTTCATAACACCAAAAAGTAAACATTAGTATTAGTATTCTATCGGCCTCTTATTCGTCAAATTAAAGATTACCAATGGCTAAAATTTTGAGATGTCACGTAGCTTCCATTCTCCTTATCCATATCCTAGTTCTAGGCAAACTCAACACTCTTCGCTTAGTCTCTTTGTCCTAAATTGACAAAAAAATCTAATTTATAAATTTAATTATTAATTGCAAAGGTAATTAATTTCATATTCGATAATACCGATTGGGATACCGAAGTACCGATTGAGATACTGAAATATTTAGGGATTGGGATACCGAAATTATTTAGGGATTGGGATTGGGATTGACTTTAGAGTGTAATTCGGTATTCGGGATTTCGGTATTTGGTATTGGGATACCGATACCGTACCGATTTCCACCCCTATCCATATATGTCTTCTCATTCAATATCATATTGTCAAGTCAATATTACTAACAAAATTGTTAATAAAAAATTAATTTTAGACTAATAATACTAACAAAACACCGACCAAATAATAAATGCTCATAGATCATTTCCTTCCCACAACAAGGCGTGGCTAGGGATGGCAATTGGTCAGGTTGGGTCGGGTTTTGCCAAACCCAAGGGTTTATCCGTGAAAAAAACCCAGGGTAAAACCCACTGGGTTTGTAAAACTCAAACCCAACCCGCTGGGTATCCGCGGGTTTTTGTCGTAAAAAATTCACAATAACAAATTCCTATCAAAATTAAAGTCAAATATCAATCTCTCAATACAAATTATCCATATATAAAACACAATTCTAGAAAATTCAAGCAAAATCACAAATTAACTACACAAATTGGTCAACACCAATCTAAGAAAACTCAAGAAAATTGAAGCAAATCACAAATTATCCATAAATAACATGATTAATCGAAACTTCTTCCTTTCAAATTAAGTTTTTCACTCTCCACTCAATAACATCAACTTCATTCTATATAACTAGAAAGAAAAAATTAGACATGTCTCCACAAACATAAATAAGATTAGTTGTTTAGAATATTAAATATGCCGAGAAAATTAATTATATGGGTGGGCGGGTACCCATGGATCGGGTTTACCTAAACCCAAACCCAACCCAACCCAATGAATAGTGAACGGGTTTAAACCCAAACTCGGCCCAAAACCGGTCAACACGGATTTTACCCGCGTTGATCGAGTTGGGTCGGGTGAGTACCCGTAGGTTCGAGTTTTATTGCCATCCCTAGGCGCGACATCGCCACCTAGTATGTAATTAAAACAAACAAAAAATGAAAATATCAAACAAATAATCAAACTGAAAAATTCAAAGAACCAGCATCAATAATTAGCTGGTGTTTCAAAAAATACACCTCTTTTTTATTTTATCTTTCTCGAACCATCACAAATCCACCCTTCCTCCTCCTCTCCTCGTTCTCGATTTTTCTGCCATCTTTATTTTTTGGAAAATCTCCGTTCTCTTCGTGCTCGTCACGATTGGACTAAAGTCATTCTTCCTCGATATTTTGTTCGTTGATCTCCTTGGCGTGATTCGCTGGGAAACTTGATTCGTTGGAGGTCAAGATCGTTGTTGGAGGTGGTGGTGGTGGCTCTGCCGGTGCTGCGTTTCCCGGTGAATGGGAGCACGGACGGAGCTGGAATTCTATTAGGAAGCTCAGCTTGGAATAGAATACAGGGGAATGTTGTATTTGAAGCAGCCAAACCCGATTATATGCGTCGGGAAAGGGCTGTGATCGTGTCGCCATTGTGGCCTGCTGAATTTTGGTTTGCCGAAATCTTAGGACTTGAAGTTGAATGCGCTTGTGATCAATTCCCTGAGCCTGGGGCTCGGGGAGAGATCTGCCGCCTATTTACGAACCGAATTCGAGATACCAGATAGAAGAGACAGAGAGCAATAAACCTGCCTCCAGCCATGGCCGAGAACGGGGGGCCTTCCACATCTCCTCTCACAATCAATGGCGAATTGCCTCGCCGTCCACCAATGGACTTACCTATGCAGAAATTCAGGCTCTACGAAACACGATCGGTATTTATCTTCCTTTTTCTCGGTCTTCCTGAGATCTACTTCTAATTCGCGTCGTCGTATAGGCTCAGCTTCCTCTTCTCCTCGCTTCGATGGTAGCCTTGGTTCCCATTTTGGGAGTCGACTTTCTGAATTGTGCTGGAACACTTGTGTCTTCTTGGTGCTTCTCTCCGTACAGGATTTAATATTTCTTTTTTTTCTTTCTTAACCCTCGTTAATTAACTGCCTTAACGTTGGTTTGGCAGTTGAAATTCAAGTCTAGTTCGTTTGGTGGTGGAAATGCAGTGCAGTGATGGTCCTGCTCTGCGATAAAAGCTTTGTTTTTTTAACAAAGATAAGAGCTTTGTTTCTGGCTATACTGGATTGTTTTAGGCTCTTCATGTAAATGTTAGCATTTTATTAATTTTGCATATGTTCCCCGACCGAAGGATTAGAAATCTTTGCCTTTGCATGCTGTGCTGATTTGGGTTTGCTTAGAATTGTTTTGCAATTTGCTTTTTTGGTGCCTCATGCGCTCTTCTGTTTCTACGTTGTTTAGAAATTTTACATGATAGGTAGGGACAAGGGTAGGACTTGTTGGAGAGTCCTGAAGATTGACAGATTAGATCCTTCTGAGCTCAACATACGTGAAGGCTCGACTACTTATACAGAGAGTGAATGTTCTGATTTGTTGAGGCGGATAAATGAAGGAAACAAGGCCACTGGCGGTTTAAAATTTCTTACCATTTGTTATGGGATAGTTGGTAAGTGGTTCCGACTTTACTCTCACTCACCTTGAGGTCTATTACTCTTGTTATCTAATCATTGCAAGGGCCTTTTTTCCCTCTTAATCTGTTTTTGTTTCAGGGTTTGTGAAGTTTCTGGGTCCATATTACATGTTGCTAATCACAAAAAGAAGAAAACTTGGTTCAATATGCGGTCATAATGTATATGCTGTCTCTAAGTGCGAGATGATTCCAATACAAAATTCTTCTGCACACGTTGATACTGTTGATTCTAAGAACGAGAGCAGGTATTACAAATTGTCCTCGTCATTGCATTCATTTTGGCACTTCTTGTGACAATTAAAATGCTGCACGGAAGGTTTTGATTGATCATCTTTATGCCATCATCCCCCCTCTCTCATTATGTATATTCGAAAGAATTTCTGCGACCTTCCACTCACTTTCAGCATTATTATCATATATTTGTGGTTGGAAAATTTTTCGAGGGCTTCATTGTCATAGTTTGCAGACTAATCACTACACAGATACATACAATAGGGTGAACTATCTATAGGCCTCAATACTAGTTCATCTGCTATTCTACCCTAGCAAAATGTATTCATTTTGCTTTTATGGAATGAAGACAAAGTTCTCAACCCCATAACAAATTTGAAAGATGTCTTCCTTTCTTCTTAAATCACTTATCATGTTATGATGGATGACCTATTTTTGTGTTTAGTGGCTTTTCCAGATATAATGATTTAATTTGCACATGTAATCTTTGGAGAAGCATAAATTTTTTTCCCTTGTCATGCTCATCTTATCACCCGTTTAGTTGTGTGCCTCGATTACACTTTTGTTTCTTTTGAGGGTCTTCTGTTGTTGCCTAATTATATGTGATCTGCTGCTGGTTTAGATACAAGAAGCTCCTATGCATGGTGGACCTCACAAAGGACTTTTATTTTAGCTACTCATACCATGTTATGCGTAGTCTTCAAAGGAATTTGTGTGATAAAGCAAAAGGCCAAGTCCTTTATGAGACAATGTTTGTCTGGAACGAGTTCCTTACTCGTGGAATTCGAAATCACCTTCATAATACACAATGGACTGTGGCATTAGTATATGGGTTCTTCAAGCAGGTAATCAATGGATTACGTGCCTAGTCTTTGTAATTTAATTTTTCTTTGCCCTTTTGCTGCTGGTTATCTTTAAATATATTAAAGGGCTTTGAGAAAAAAGCCCCCTCCACGTCAGCCTTAAAACCACGACCGCATCTTGCGGAATGACAAGGTTTTTAGTTTTTTTTTTTAATTTGTTGGAACCGTTCCCCTGGAAAATAGGGTTCCTAAATCCTAACCCTTTATTTTTCTCAGACCACTGTATATTTGCAATTCACCAAACAAATGTATATATTGGTTTGGAATTTGGGCATTTGGCAGCGTTTTCAAAATATTTTTCCATCATATTTTGAATGATAATTATTGATTATAATTCTTTAGAGCATCTACATTGGAATTGTATTATGAAATGACATTTATTTGCAATTGTATTGATGTAGATGAAAATTGCATTTTTGCAAACTTGCATATAATGCAATTATGGTTGCAAGCCAAAAGTGAATAACAATGATGTAAGTATAATGAAATTAAAAAATGAGTTGGATTACATATACTGTGAGATATGAGTAAAAATCACATAAGTAGTTAATTTTACAATTTCATTTATGTGGATGCTCTTACAATACAAGAATTCTAAATCCATTTTATAACAAAGTATTCCCTTGCTTTACCATTATGACATTATATTTATGTTATAAGAAATTAGATATATGATCAATAGAACATCTACCCCTATGCATTGTAGATTTTTATGTTGACCAATTTTATCGATATTTCTTGACACTTTAAATGTTATGGATTTCAAATACATAGTAAATATTGTAATTGTGAAAATAGCATTATAAGTTACTTTCAAAAGATTATAGTTAGAAGAATGTGGGACTTTCATCCTTGGCTTCTACATACAAATAAATTTGGACCTTTTTATTATTTTTAAGATAAAAATACCATAACCATCAATAAAAAATTAATGAATTTAGATGTTAATGAATATGTTCATAAATTACATGACACAAAGTATACTATAATTACCACCTGCCCAAAGGGCAGGGTTCAAGCTAGTTTTGGTAATAGAATTTGCTGAACTGGTTAATGTCATGCAATGTTCATCATCAGTTGCTTGTTTCTTGATTTTTGTTGTAATACTTGTGCATCCTTAACCTGTTATAATGGATTTGCTTTTTTGGATTGCTTGCATAGGCAAAAGGGATAACCAACAAACTTAGATAGTGAATTGAACTTCCGTGGATTAATCCTGCCGGATATTGTTGATTTGCCAGACCTCCTTGATCTGGATTTGTCTGAAAATCATTGATTTAGGAGATAACATTAGGAAGAGGGAATAGTAATGTATAATTGAAAATAAGAATTAAAGTAAGAGTAATAAAGTAAATTTGCTTTTACATAATTCTCCAAGTTCATAGAGTAATCGTACATCCAAACAACAAAATTTTCGAATCCATAATTTGCCAAATCTATCACTGCCTTCCTTAATTTTTCTAATGTAGACATCCAGATTCCAGACCCCTTTATTAGTACATGTTTGTTTCTCCTTTGGCTGCCTTATTACTTGATGCGATGGTTCTGCAAATTTATATTGCACGAGGCATATGTTGATTGTTGGGTTTGGCTTTGTGATGTTTTCAATGCATGATTTACTACTTCTGGTAAATGAATGGATAATATTTAATTTTCCTTTGACTTGTGGCCACCTTTGGTCCGGGCTGTCATCAGGGTTCATGACTTGGTCAATCTAGTAGTAATTGTTTCTTAATGAGTGTAGGAATCGCTCTCTGTTGCTGGCCGCGACTTCAAACTTACCCTCATTGCAAGACGTTCACGTCATTATGCCGGCACCAGGTAGGACAATTCAAATGTAACCAAACTCTAGACGAATTTTTTTTTTTCTTGGAAACTTTAACTACAATTTGACAGAGGCTATACTCATCTCTGTGTTGTTCAAACTTTTTTAATTTAATGATATCAAAGCATAGGTAGCAAACTTTGTGAATGATGGTTGGCATAGGGCACCTGCATGTTTCTCTCATGTTATGCTTTAAACTCCAGGTATTTAAAACGCGGTGTTAACGAGAAGGGAAGAGTTGCTAACGATGTTGAGACAGAGCAAATAGTTTGTGAGGATGTACCCGAAGGGCTTCCAGTGCAAATAAGTTCTGTTGTGCAGAACCGTGGCTCTATTCCATTATTTTGGTCGCAAGAAACCTCCCGTCTGAATATCAAGCCAGATATCATATGTATGCCCATGCTCTTTGTCTACTTCATGAAAAGTGTGTCCTTTCAATTTTATTCAGAAGCCTTCTTTGTTCTTCTATTTCTAGTGTCGAGGAAGGACCAAAACTATGAAGCAACCAGACTTCATTTTGAAAATCTCTCCAAGAGATATGGAAATCCAATTATCATACTGAACTTGATTAAAGTAAGTTGTCTTTTGGCATTGCTTCTTCTGCATCTCCATGCAGGTCTACTGGGGACACCCCTATTGACCTAGTTTGAAGTTTCTTCTAGAATTGTGAATGTTTACAGATGTATGTGGCTATCATCTTAGCTTTTATGTACTGCATAATTTTGCAATAAACAGACACGGGAAAAGAGGCCGCGAGAATCAATTCTTCGTACAGAGTTTGCTAATGCTATTAGTTATATCAATAAAGATTTATCAGAAGAGAACCGCCTACGGTTCCTTCACTGGGACCTGCACAAACATGCTCGGAGGTATCTCTTACGATTGGTTTGAGGTTTCCTTTCTCTTTTCATGTCAAATATCTGGATACTTTGTTCTTACGTGGGGGAATTTGTTTCTCTGTTATGGTACTCTCAGCAAAGCAACCAACGCTCTATTACTTCTAGGGAAAGTGGCTGCATATGCGCTGACCTTAACAGGTTTCTTTTACTGTCATGTAACACCCACTTCGGAACCTGAAGGCGGCCTTGGTTTCTCATCATCCGGGTAAGTTCTCTTACCACATTTCTACAGATTGCAGTACTCCACTTGTGTTCTAAGTCTAACAAACATGACAAAGTCCCGATATAGTAATGGCATAACTTGAGGATGTGCTAAGAATTTATCAATCCACTTTATTGACTAGTCACTATGTCGTGTATATTATTCAGTCGTTGACAGAATACGTCGTTGTCCTTTGCTGGTGTTTTATGTCTGGTCACTACTTGTAGTAGTCTTGAGAACCGTCTGACATAAATAAATATTACTTCTGTGGTTGTACACGTTTAGCTTCTTGGTGCAAAGCATTTGACAGATGTTCTAACAAGAAAAATCATTTGACGTCTTGAGGACCTTGGTACAACCAATGTAGTCAAAAGCGAGTTTCTACGTAGAAACGTTTTGGTGACTTAGAAGCGTAAAATCGTAAGTTTTTAAGCTTTAAAGCGGAGTTTTGACTACATTGGGTACAACGCTGTTACTTTTGTGAAAATGTCTTTTGTCATAAGTTTCTGGACCCATACTGCACAGCTAGCAGGGAAGTTTGAAATGAAATACTTACCCTTGTGTTATTGACCCCGAAGCAACTATTCTTCGCTCTTGTCCTTTCTTTTTTCTTCTTTCTATTTTCTTAATTGAGTTTCGATTCTTTTATGCAACAATTTTCTCTTAATCTTGGTTCTTCTTCTAACTTAGCTATATTCTCTTTTTAACTTCAATATTATAAATACACTGGAAATAAACACATTTAAGAGGTTGTTCTTTCTGATGCCAGTGATCTGAGTCTAGGATGAAAAGCTAACCTGCTGAAAGTCAGGCAACTGGGCAAGTTCTTAAAGTTTTCGTGGTTGGATGGTTCATGAGATTTTAACAGTGAATTATTATGTTTTGGATGCTGGGCAGGAAGGCTGAAAAAGGAGCTATGTTTCCGCAGAAACAATTTGATAATGGTCACGAGGATACCAATAACTTAGAGAGAAAGTTAAGTGGAGTTGGTAATGTTGCTAACGACAATCATTCTGCAAAGCAACTGATGTTCCAGAATGGAGTCTTGAGGACCAATTGTATAGATTGTCTCGATAGAACAAACGTTGCACAGTTTGCATATGGCTTGGCTGCTCTTGGATCCCAGCTTCACACTTTAGGAGTATTAGATTCTTCCAAGATGGATCTTGATGCACCTTTGGCTGATCATTTGATGGGATTTTATGAAAATATGGGTGATACACTTGCCCATCAATATGGAGGCTCAGCTGCTCACAACAAGGTGATTTAGTTCGGTTTGTTAACTTTAGAGCTCCAATATATTTTTCCGTTCTTACCTCGTTACCTTCTTTTCTTGCATATTTGATATATCGTTGGGGAGATTTAATGGGCAGAACTAGAACCTACTATTGACTGGGGCAAAACCTAGTCTGGTTTCTTACAAAGTGGAAGATGTAATTCAGTTTCAGAAACTGTACTGTCCTGAATTTGCGAGGCACTTCCGGTACAACCTTAGATTGGGTTATAGTATTCAATCAGATTTACCAAAACGCAAGGCCTCTTGACAAATACTTGTTCAAAGAGATGAACGATCAATTTCTGAACTTAAAAAATTACGTACCTTAACTCTGATAAAAATTTGTAGTCATTTTGATGAACGGATAAAATGACATGGAGACACATATGAAACTCGGTGCATATATGAAGAATGATCCGGAACATAATATGACTTGTAGATTTCTTACTCTATTTCTTAAACTAATACATCCTATAGATATTTTCGGAGAGACGGGGTCAGTGGAAAGCAGCAACCCAGTCTCAGGAATTCTTCCGAACTCTTCAAAGATACTACAGCAACGCATACATGGATGCACAGAAACAAGATGCTATTAACGTGTAAGTAGTTTCTGAATTTTCAGTGCGGTCACTTTGACAGACTTTCCTTCAATCTGAATTACTCTCTATTACTTCTGTAAAACAGCTAATCGAATTTCTGTAAATTTCTATTGGACCAGATTCTTGGGTCACTTCCAGCCACAGCATGGGAAACCTGCACTGTGGGAGTTAGATTCAGACCAGCACTTGAACTTAGGAAGTAATGGCCATGACATTGATACCAGGTAGTTTATTCAGACCATTACTTCACGGTTCCATTGTGCATACTGTGCTACAATTTACTGTTTTTGTCCATCACTGTACTTTTGAATCCCAGCATCTGCTTTTGAGATTTTGACCAGTGTTGATCATTCTCTTGTAATTTTGACAAGTTCATAATTATTTCCAGACATAGTTTTTAATTTAAGTTCGATTTTTTTGCGAACTTGTATGGATGTTTAGATATGGTAGTGAGTATTTGTGCACATTGAGGGATTGCACTGTCGAGATGTTTCAGTAAACCCAGTAAACCTTCCATTTCTCTTTCTTGATTTATTAACTATTTTCATTTTTCGAAACTAGGAATTTTCTTATCTCATCAGAAAGATATCTTCCAACCATTGTGATTTATTAACTGCTTGATAAAATTTGGAGGGTACTCCTATCACATTGGTATGATTTTGCCATGGTGAACTCTACAAAAAGGGATTCCAATCTCATCTTATTCAGTTGGAAGTGATTCACTCCCTCTTTTATTAATTTGATCATTTAGGGGTTGGCCCAGCTACCCCAGTAGGCCAAAGTCTCTCGCCCTGTGAACCGGGTTTGGATGGGTCCTCTGAATGCATGATATTCTTTCCCTACTTCTTCTTCATGCCCTCCTTGATGGTTGATTTCCATGCTTTGTTTAGGTCATTTTTCAAAAGGTCATTGTCAGATGGAAACATTCTTCGCCACAGTTGTTCCCCAGTATCTGCTCCAAATCTTGACCGAAATAACTTTTCGAGAACAGCTTTTCCTGAACAATGGCATGGAGCAGCCAACATTCACTCAGAGTCTTCCCCTGAGATATCAACCTGTAATGCCAATTTGGCATTTTTAAGGTTTGTTATTTCATTGTTTGACTTACAGCTGAAGTGATTTATTGTATTTAGTTCTAGATTGCTGTATTTGCCGGAAGCCCCTATATGTTGACCATGAATTCTAGTGTTTTATGGCTTTGTTTGCTAGAGGTTTCATATTGCAGTTATTTACTCCTTCAAGCTCCTAAGAAAATAGAGCAGATTTTTTTCCATTAATAGAGGTTATTTCTCTGCAAGTTTTCCCCACTCTTTGAGTTTTTTATGACTAATTTCTGCTAGATGTGCAGTAATTATAATGCATTTTATCAATCAGTAAATTCCATACATCTTTTTTGGAACTTAAAACATTTATTCTTTGACATTAGAAGGTAGTGTTGGATGTGTAAGCATCCATAGGTTGTGGTTAGCCAAAGCAACATGGTAAATTAGAAGGTAGTATACTAACTATAATGCATTTCTGTGATTCAGTAAAGTTAAAACATTTATTATTTAAAATGATTTTCCTTGTAAATATCGTGCATCTGTATTCTTATGGGGATCTTATTACAATATGATGACACTTACTGGGTGAAAATTAGGCACACTTCCCAACTACCTCACAGGCAGCTGTTTGGAGACATACAAAGAGATCAAATCCATGAAAGTGATCATATTTACTTTTCTGAAGACACACTTAATTGGTCAAATTTTGTTGATCTGGACTGGCTGTCCTCATCCGGGAATTCATTTGAAGATGAGCCATTTGATAGGTAAATTTTGTTCCATCTTTAACCTTCAGGCTCATTTATGAGTTAAGGAGCTCGTAATATAATGTTTCAGAATGGACTGGCTTTTCCTGTTTGATTGTCCCTCGTGGCTATCATTCCCGTTCAAAAGGAATGCTCGGAGTAGATGCCAATTCTCTGGTAGAGTAAGGGTGTGGCATTTTGTGGTTATATAACTGGGAATTTTCTCTTTTTCCTCAATAATTAATGCAGGACATCAGTGCTCACAAACTCCCCAAGCGCTGGGCAGTCATCAGATAGTTGCGTCACAAATGGAATGATGACCAGGGAGCCAACCCCAACTGCTAGTGAATATGGATCCATGAGGGTGGTGAGTATTTTATCCACTTGGATATTTGCTTTCTTGAAGCTCTCGTTTCCCTATTGTTGGTTGTGTTAAAATCCTGTCTCGTGTATTTGAAGGGACCGGAGACTGAAATGGAGTTATCTGTTGCTAGTAGTTCACAGCATCCCACTGCGTTGGAGGACTACTCGGATAGTTTCGTTCATTGGGTAAACTATGGAGAAACACTCTGCCATTGAGAGATACCTACTGCTTGTATTCATCACAAGATGATTACTTCCTATCCACCTTATGACTTCACCTGATCACAAAGATTTTAGTTGCTGACACGCCCAACAATAGGCGGTAAAGAGGTTAACAAGCGTTTAGTAGCAAAGGTTCCCGGTCAAAGAAAAGGACATCACACAACACTTGAATTATTTCAACAGAGGATACTCACAGGACGCAAGCAAAGATGGAAAGAACCAGCACTAAACAAAGAGTAAATAGCCAAACAATTCAGAGAAAAAACCAGAGTAAAAGGCTTATTTTTGTTGTTGGAGGTGTTTCTGTCCTGTAAAGTTAGGGGGTGTTATGTAAATATGGAGGTCGTGAGTCGTGACATTAATTCTTTTGCTTCCTTACATGTTTGAATGAGTTGTAGGAAGAAGGATGGGTAGGGTTGTTTGAAGGTAACATTTTGTTCGGGGATGGGAAAAGTGTTTTGAGATTATATAGGAACTAATGTGATGGTTCATGGTTGAGGTTATGTGGCTGCCAAGCAGAACTTGTTGATGTTAAATATCTTGTCCTGTAGCTACTAAAATTACTTGGGTTGATCTCTGTATTGTCTTGTCTGGTTTCTTTAAAGTAGAACCATATTCTTCCTTTTTCTTTCTTCCACCAGTAATAGAATACTGCACAATGTTTTCTATTATGCCATCTGTCTCATCATCAGGCGCACCATTTATGTATGGTCTTTCTTCTGGGTAACACAAGGGCATCAAAGTCCAAATCTGGTCCAGATAAATTAAGGCAGCAAAGCAATCACCTATCACCTCATATGATCCTCTGAAATTCTCAAGGTCAGTTTTCTAGTGTCTATTATCATGTCCATGAAGACTCAAGGCAAGGCTGTTCACGTAATCATGAAATACTAAAACATAAGGTCCCAAACCCTAATTCGCAGGTCACTGCTGGCTTCATAATATGTTGAGCCAGATCCAGCTGTGATGTTCAAAAAGATTCAGCTAAGAATGGGGAAGATGCGAGTGATGTGGTCCAATGGGACTGCATCGCCAGAGTTCTTCTTGAGCTCAGGATGGTTGAATTCTGTCTTTGGAAGAGCAATGATTTGTCCACCACCTTGGCCCATCTCTAAAACCCACCCATAGTTTACCACTTGCTGTTCAAGGAATTTATCCAGTGCCAAGCCTTCGATGTTGATGGCCTGAAGTAAATATGAACAAGGTGTCAGAACTCAGAAATTGGGGACACACATCTTACATAGTACACAGGCTATGCATTTTTTTTTTACCAGAGATTTCAATAGAAAAAAAGAAACCACGGCTTGACAGAGAAATGGCTTTTCTCGGCGCACTATTGGCAGTCCTAGGGACTGCACAAAACTCTCTAATTCTATGTCTAGAGCAGCTACCATCTAGGGCTTGAATAGATCAGTTGAAAAATGCTGTTTAGTTGCCAGCTATAATAACCTACGGGCACAGCTGATGTCCTAGCATTCAAAAATTACATATGATTTAGAAAAGAGATTGTATTTGAGCAACAAAAGCTTCTGCAGAAGGAGGGGGAGCTAAAGAAGCTTCATACAGTTTCTGGTAGAAGTAGGAAGATAAGCAAAAACCATTGTGAGCTCTGACAGGAAAAATGCATACCTCTGCTAAGACGGACCTAGGAACCTTTTGGTAGGTCAAGGAAAGGACGTGAACCGCATAGGCTTGGATAGCTTGCTCAAACCCTGCCCCAAGAGAAACTCAAATCATAAACAAAATGCAACAGACAAAGCATATCAGTAAGGTGCAACTAAATTTTTTGACTTGTAAAAGTAGATCATAATGTAGGGTTGTCCAAGTAAAGCTGATACAAACATGTGTTCACAAATAAGCACTCAGGACTGAAGCCATGCCATTCAAAAAGATGTCACAAGTCTCAATCCTCTGCATCAGACTAACATGCAAGAAAATCATACTTTGCCTATCAAGTGGCACAACAGAATATGACGATTCACATCATACTCACAGGGACACTTAAAACAGAACAGAACTAAAAGAACCTAATGAATAGTAGCAGATCAATACCTGGTACAGCTTCAACAATATGTCGACTCTTAGCTGCTTCATCCCAGAATTGACGAAATCCACCAGTCTGCATATTAAAATGAAGAGAGCTCAAAAATTATGTTGGCTTTCAAGGGAACCTATAAGTCCAGCAATATCTATTGTATACCTCAAGATAATGGGAGAGGACAATCAGAGTCTTGAACGGCTGCTCCATTTGCTGATTATCAGAAATCAAAGCAGGCAAATTAAACCCAGGAACATAAAGGTGAAGGCTGAACATTGGGCAAAAACTACTCAAAAGGACCAAAAAGTTAACCAAGCATCTGCAGCATTTGCTGATAGAATAAAACTTGTAAACCAAAAGATTCACTTAAAAAAAAAAAAAGATTTACAATCTAATATTTGCTGGACTGGTTGGTTGGCTGAGTGTTAACCAAGGTGAAGGTTCTCACAATTGAAAAGGCAGAAAATGCTAAACCCCATGAGATAGTAACCAACCATGTAATAGGTGAGCCAATACGCTCACACAAAAGAATTAAGTATATGTTTGCAAGTAATACAATAGTAATAAAAAAACGAGTTTTGCAACCAAATGCATGAAGAGTACCCTCAAGACAGTACAGAAGGGATGATGAAAATAGAAAGAGTGCCAGAATAAATACTTCCATAGGAAGCGAACAGAAATGAAGTACAATCGTTCCATACCACTCTTTCTGGGATCAAAAAGAGACAAAGGCTGAAATCTGGAGCCGGCATTGCCATGAGGGCCTGCATAAACACAATATGTGCACCTCAAAACAGAGTTGGAAGACATTGAATAAAAGTGTGGGCCAATTTAAGCAAGCCAACCAAACCTTAACCAAAATGCGAGCAACAATTTGGGTGCTCAACCGCTCTGGCTCAAACTGCAGTAAGAAACATAAAGCAACACTAAAGGTTAAAACTTGTATCATTTCACATAATCCATCAAAAAATAAGTATGCCAAAAGCACCAAATTGGGTGTAAGGGAAGCCAAGAGTTGATAAGTAAACAAAAAGTTCAGTCATCACACCTGATAAAGGCGAAGAAGGCAGAGATTTGCATCTAAGCTGTATGTTTGTGAGGCAACCTGATCATAAGCAAAGAGAAAACAAACATCTTAATAACAATTGAATTTGCTCCATTTGGGCTGCTAACAAAGTGAAAGAACTCATGGATCCTATCATCAGCGATAAATGTTTGCCATAGTTCGGAGTATCAAATGGTGCATCCTTGGGTTGACCCTTTTCTAGTTCAAGATCTACAATTGTTTTTCATATGTTCTCAGCTCTGACAGATAGATGCTCCTAAATGAAAAATCCTCTAAGGCACTGGCATAGACACTTGAAAGACTGAAACAGAATCAAAATTCAACACAAGCAGATGCATGCCCCGATATCGCCAGAAGCAGATATTAACACAAATCCAAGTCGATGACCTTGTTTCCCAATAAACTGAAGTCTCCCAGACAAGACTCGAAACTAAAATTCCACTACAGACAACAACTCCGAACATCACAAATCCTAATTCACAGCACAATAAAGCTGGAATGAAATATTGCGTTACAAAAACTGAAGACCGATAATGGATGTATGATTGTAAGAAGGAGAAGGAAAGAGTCAGAGTGGGAAGAACCTGCTCATTGACGTAGTTTTCAAGATCGGGGAGGATGTCGGGATTGTAAGGATTCACAGCTACCAGCTGCTCCACTGTGTATGAGACTTGCTGAGGTTTCTGAGGCTCTTTTTCCATTCCCATTTTGGGGCGTATACGGTTTCGACGGAGAACTTTTCCGATATATCTCACCGGCGGCACAGACCTTGGACTCCCCTGAAGGCTGCAACTGAGAAAGAAACACCTTCCGCTGTGCTGAGGGTTTAGGCCTTTAGGGTAACAGTCTACCAGAGGCGTCAAGATTGAATACAGAAAGACATATATGCCCCCCTCCTCTGACTTGCATTAATATGCGGATAATTGGATATCAAAGGTGATTAAACCGATTTATATCATTGGGTTGGTTTAGTAAGTACTAAGTAGTATTGCTTTATGAGAATAAATTCAATTTATATCGGTTCATTTTTTTTTACAAAAGATAATCATATTGATTAAGAAAAAGATCACAAGTTACATCCTGGACCCAACCCAGGCATGAAAATCGTACAATCGACACGAAGCCGGAGACACAGACAGGATCTTCCTAGCCACATAATGGGCTACCCAATTGCTATTCCGACCTACTAACCAAACCCGGAAACCACTATTCAGAGCCAGCAGACACAAAATCTCAGAAATAATAACCCCGACACGACCATCATGCGCGTCCTTGGCATTAACCTTATCAATAAGCACCTTCGGATCACCCTCAAACCTAACTTGATGGATGCCAAGAGTCTGACACTAGTGCATAGCTTCGCGAAGAACAATTATCTCCGCCATTAGAGGGTCCACAATGTTTTGAGAAACACTCCATTTACCAATAACACATTCCCACCACTGTCCTTTAAGATCAGCCCTCCCGCTGAATGTGAGTCAACACTTAACGCACCTTCCCACATACAGACGACACTTGGAAAATCTCCTTCCCCCATATTTTGTTGCCAAGGTACCCGATCCAGATCAAATCTATCCTCTGGTAAGGACACCCATTCACGAATCTGCTGGTGATATTGCTATAATAATTGAGGAATCAAGAATTGCTTTCCCTCAAAGGCAGCTCAGTTTCTAGACTTCCAAATACGCCACAAAAGCGCCACCAGAGCCACAGTCTTGGCCGGCTGGGTCATCCTAAGCAAGCACTTTTTTAGGAAGAAGGGAAAGGTCTGTCTCGGTAAACCATTGCCCAGATGCTCCAATGCTGAATGAGTCCAGAGAGCTGTAGCGACTGGACACTCCCAAAAAAGGTGTTCCTTCGTTTCAGACTCCACCCAACACACAGGACATCGAGGCAACACCTGGACCCGTTTCTCAATTAAGGCCTCCGTCGTAGGCAAGATACGGTGAAAGATTTTCCATAGGAACAACTTTAACTTAGGTGGGATCTTGAGTTCCCACATTTTCATCCAGCTCGCCCTATCCATCCAGCTCACTATGGGGCGCCACTCCCCAACCTGCCTATCAACCAAAACCGCAAGGTGATAAGCAGATTTGACAATGAACACGCCATCACTCGTATCATGCCATACAAACCTATCCTCCACACCCCTATTAGGCAAAGGGATCGCCAAGATGTAACGGATCACATCAGACGGAACATTTGCTGAAGCGATTGGCAACACCATCCTCCCCTCGGAAGATCAATAGCTCTACTACCTTTGGGTCATTATCCTCCGTAATTACATGAGGATTACACCTAGGCGAGTGTGGGTGATTGGATGATACCCAGCTGGAATGATGGATAGAGGCCCGGGCCCCATCCCCAATCTACCACCGAAGTCTTCTTTGCACGAGAGTGCGGTCGTGGAGAATACTTTGCCAGCCCCACGATGGACGAGATCTAGCGGTTACAGTTAGGAATGTTGACTCACACGAAATCACACCACAAATTAATCCCGACTAGAGCCCAAGTTTTTAAACTCTAGCCGGGTGCAGTATAGGGCAAGTATTTAAATATCGACCCGGGCCAATCCATGTACCCCTACTTCAATCGCTTAGGTTGTTATCTAGCAAACAACTTTTGGGTTTAGAGCTAATGAAACTACAAACTAAACAAGCAAAGAAAAGTAAATAAAGGAAAATTCTAACTAAGGGAGATTCACCCAGGAGTTGCTTCCCCCTAACTAGCTACCATGACTCATTGGATTGAATGAAGTCGTGTGGTGTAGGTGGTTGTGAACCACGGGGGTGAGGAACTAGTGATCAATCTGTCACAGTAAAAAATTCACTAGCGATCGATTTGTCACGGGATCGATCCACTCACCAAGTCTAGGGGAACCGCTAGGAGGAGCAACTAGTGATCCATTTGTCACGGGATGGATTCACTAGAGATCGATTTGTCACGGGACCGATCCTCTCACTCAGGCTCTAGTGGTTTCCTAGGTCTCTCCCTCAAATTGGAGTTTGAGCGGCTTAATCACAGCCAACTTAGATGCAAACTGGTAACCGCGAGCCGCAGAGGGATGCAAATATGGTCGTAGACCTCAATCTCGATTGCTAAACCGAGGTAAACTTTATAGGCCGTGTCACTCAGCCCTCTCGATTTAGGCAATCGGTGGTGACTTACTCCCTCACTCAACTCAAGGTTGGATGGCTTAATCACGCTTAACCAATTTGCTTAATTCAACATTGAGGTTTGCCCTAAATTAACCTAGGTTAAAGTGGCTAATTAGATTGCTAAGCACCAACATGCACAAACCTAAGGATGCTAAGCACAATCATACACAATCCTTAGGTTGTTAATGAAACACCCTAACTCGGCCAGGTACTACTTTTACTAAAATGCCCTTAATAAATAAATACTCAAATCTTAAATTGCAGAGGAAATTTTTTCATAAATAAAATACTGGAAACACACACTTGTAGTTCAAAGCAAAGCCCTAACACGTGGCAAATTAAACTCAAACTTTAAAATCTCAATCTGATCTCCAGTCTATGCTCATAATCACAAATGTAAATAACTAGGTAGTCTCTATCGTTGCTGCTACTGAAAATCTTAACTAGGAATCCTCCGTGACGCTTACACTGCCCCCCTCTAGCTGGCTGCCCTCAAACTTTTCCTCTCGAACTCGCTGCTCTCTAACTGCTCCTCTAGCTAACTGCTACCGATCTGGTTCTCGCTCATTCCCTTACTAAGGCCTAGTGAGTGAGTTGGGGTCAGTCTACGCCCTTATGTTTTAAACTTTCTAATAATTTTGCACTTCTTCTAAAACACTTAAACTCAAACTGAAGGAAGTTGTTTGTACTTCCATTCTTTGAAAAAAATCTTACTCTTAAAACTGTATGGGAGTCACTGTTACTCTCCATTCTTAAAGCTTAAATCTCAACTTAAATACTTGACTGACATGGGGATCCCTCACTAGCTAGTCCAGTTGCCAACTCATACGTATGAGAAGCCACCAAGGCTTTCCTTAAACTTAAACTTATCGTGGAAGGCTCTTCTTCCACGATTCTCAAGAGCATTATTGCTGCTCATCTTAAATCTCAAGAGCATAACTGCTGCTTAACTTAAATAACTCAAGAGCATAACTGCTGCTTTGTCTCAAAGATCTCAAGAGCATAACTGTTGCTCTATCTGAAAATCTCAAATGGCAACGGACTGGCGCTAGTGACTAAAAACACTTAAAATGATTTCACCTTCTTCGAAGGTGAAGTATTTCATAAAAGGGATTGTTCTGAAGCTTTAATAATCACTCATAAACGTAAACTTCAAAGTAAGAGATAAACTCATACACCTTCACTTCAAATCATAGCTCAACCAAAGCACATACTATCAAACATAATCATGCAATCTCAAGCATGAATTAAACACTGCACATACATCATGTAAATCAATACTTGAAAATACCCAAGACAAATATTTGAAAAACCATAAGGCGTAGAATTTACCCCCTTTACACTCACCTTATTTCCGTCGGAACTGGCTCTGAAATTGCTCCAAAGTTTCCATACTCGCTTGCAACCCTATTACACTCGTACTTGCTTGAATAAAATGGAGCAGCTTGCTTGGAAAATGGAACTAAGAGGTTGTTTGCTATAGGAAATTATATCAAACAACCAGCCTGCTTTGACCCACTTCCTTAGCTACCGAGCTCCAACCCCTAACATTACGCCGAAAATTGATAATGCTAGCATGGAACTAGCTTATCAATGGACCAGCTTGCTTTGGTCATTATTGGACGTCGTCCGTCATAGTAGAGGGAACTGATCGGCGGTGGCAATGACAAGAAGACGAGCTTTCTTGAGCAAGCAACTCTCGTAGTAGAGGGAACTTGCACCCCTTGGACGATGGCGTCGCTTTGCTTTGATTTCCGAGTCCCGAGAGCAAGTTGGTTTCGATGGAGAAGTAGAAGGTTGCGAGGGTTTTGTTATTTGGGTCGAGACCGAGTGTGGTAAAGGGTCTAGGGTTTAATTAGTTAGAGGATATTTTGGGAATCTCACAATTACGTGTGAGTTTAATCCGGAACTCAATTAACTTCCATAACTTCCTCAATCTATGTCCAAATTTGACACCGCTTAAACCATCAGTTAACATTTTTAGTCCTCATTGATATTACGGTAGTACTTGACCCAAGGGTATAATATTCATTTTGATTTTTGGGAAGAGCGGGGGTATAACAGTTAATCACCAAAATGCACAAACCTAAGGATGCTAAGCACAAAACATGCAAAAACCCTTAGATTGCTAAGCACAAGCATGCACAATCAACATGAATAATACTACAATCATTGAATCAAACAATACCCAATGACAATCATTCAATCTAAACAAGTAATTACAAAGTATTAGTTAGGGATCTACAACACCCAAGAGAAAAGAGTGAGTTTCTAGAGAGAGGGATTACAAATTTGAGCTCAAGATCTTCTTCTTCTTCTTCTAGGCTTGAATCTCCACTCAAGCCTCCAATGATACTCCAAGATTACTCTAGCACTCTCTCTCTCTCTCTCACTAAAACTCCCCTTTGGTGTTTTTGGGCAAACCCTAGAGAGAGAAACTGATTCTTCTCCAAAAACCAGCTCTCCTTTGTCTCTCCCCGCTACTGTCTTCATATTTGCCCGAGAGTGACCAGTTCACGGCCGTGAACACCTAAACGCGTCCATGAACTCAGTCATCTCCAAAATGCACTGCCTTGCTTCCTGGGTTCACGGTCAATGGCCACAGTTCACGGTCTTAGATACCGTGAACTGCTTTGTCGTCAATAACTTCAGGAACCTCGCTAGACGCCTCGGTGTTCACGGTTTGTGGTCGAAGTTCACGGTCACCGTGAACTGCA